TTTGCACAGTTTTTGTTATATATTTTCAGTATATTAATGTTTCTTATATTGTTAAATTTGTTATAGTTTGCTAGTTATTTTGCCAATAAAATTGCAGAAGACATATGGAATTCTCCATTCCTTTTTGCTCTATTTAGTGATAATATTTACGTAGGGGAGACCGGGGCAAGATCGGCATGTTAAGCTTTACTTAAATTTTGTGTAATAAATACTGCTGTAAAGTGAAAAAAAAGCTTTGCATATTGTCTATTGGAATGTTACCTTACTATAGAACTGGTTAAAATCAGTTTGGAAATAAAAATAATTAAAATAATTACAACTTTACAAGAAGAGAGAAATTGCCGAAGTTGCCCCGGGTATAGGGGCAAGATCGGCAACTTCTCTCTTTTTGTAAAGTTGTAATTATTTTAATTATTTTTATTAAAGTTGCCCATGGTATAGGGGCAACAGTAATGGGGCAAGATAGGCAGGTATATAAATTTATGTTATTAACAATGTATAAGTTGGAATTCACTATTAAAACAAAGAAATACAAATCCAACACCTATTTAATATTATTACAACGTAATGCAAGTTCAAAGACATATATACATGAATAACAAATGCAAACATGTTTTCATTTATCATCTGTTTGATTTTTATCCTTTGCTTCTAATGTGGCTTTATGTTGCCGATCTTGCCCCGCTAGTCATGATTTCGAAACATTAAGTACAACCCTGAGAACAGAATGCCAAGCCATGATCTGGCCACGTGAATAAGTTGAAGTTACATCCTTCTAACAGGAAAAGTAACTTTCGTTATCATGGAATTATAACAAAACCTGCCAATTCAATATAAATGGAAGCAAAATATTATATGGAATTGAACGAAAATGAAAATTTGCTTGATAATTCAACTACGCTTGTTGGAGAAAAATAAAAACACTACACTCAACAAGCCACCAATAAAACTCAACTGCCTAACCTATAACCAAAGTCTCCTTTTAATTTGTTTTTTAAAAAAAGCGCTTGACAAACTTGCCCCGTATGCCAAAGTTGCCCCAGTCTCCCCTATATGATGTGTAATACTTATCTTACTTATTCCCATTTATGCTAGCCTGTACGGATTTATTTTTCTTTAAGATGCTAATATTTTGCATCTTAAAGAAAATCCTCGCTTCTGTTATCTTCGTTTATTCTTGACGCATTACTCAAATTCGACACTTAGTCTATTCAATAACCACATTTTTAACACTTAAATATAAATAAAAAGAACTGTGTTATAACAGTAATTAAATGAGATTAAATTCTGATAATTACTAGAACTTTTTAAAAACTTTTCTTGCGTTTTGATTAGTTGGAAGTCATTAGGAGATAATTCGTTTAATCAGTTTTTCTCCCTTCTTTTTGGACTGTTAATAGTTAATTTGACATCATTTTCAACTAATTGGAAGAGAGAAAAGCGCAATCTAATATCGCAGTTATAAAAAAATAATACATGAAAATATACAGATTAAGCATCACAGATGTTTTCAACGACATACAAGCCTATATATTGGTTTTGAATTTACCAAAAGGAATTTTTTTTTTATTTTAAAAATTCGAAGTGTATTAAAAAGTATAAAGTAATGTGAAGAACTTTGTTTTAACGTTAAATTCAGCATATAAATTGAGTAAAACTATAGCGAAAACGACAAAATATGACAATTACGGCGTGTGAAATTTCTTCCTATTTGATGAATAACGCCTTAGAAAATGGTTAGCAACCTAAAAAACGATATCCGTCATTAAGCTATTTAAATATCTTGTTTCCGTAAGGAATGAAAATTGGTATTTTTAACGGAGACGTATGTTATTGATAGTAAATCGATGGCATTTTGTTGCTAATCTTGAAAACGTTCGAATAGCCAAAAAGTCTTTGGTGCTGCAATTTTCTATTTTAATTGGATATTTTCCAAAATTTATTGTAATGAAATATTTAAAATTTCCTTTGAAAATTTACAGAGCATGAATTTTTCTTTAAGAAAGATAAAATAGATCAGCATTTATTTATCTAATTTGCAGAGAGCGATTATTCTAGGAAAGAGGATAATCCTTCACTCGATAATGAAGCGTGCTTGTTTTGGGAGATGGAATCGATCAATAAAATTGGCAGGAGTGCAAATTTATTGAAAACAAATATTGTAATGTTTGCAGAATGGATTGGCAGAAATGCGCAAATGCTGTTATTAAATTCCGACTTGTCTCTGTTCTGACGAAATGTTTAAAGGTTCAACATCTTTCGAAAATCAATCTAAGAAAAGATTCTTATTATTTTTAAGTCACGCAATCATTTTCCAATAAAAATCGATACATTGTAATTTATTAAATAATAAATCATTTATTTATTGGCAAACTTTCCAAGTCTTACTTTATTTTATTTTTTATTTAAAAAGTTAGGCAATTTCGGGTTAAAATTATTTCTTCTTAAACGAATATTCCACTTGATAAATAATAAATTAAATGAAGAATAATTCTTATCGATAGAATGAAAATGAACGAAATTTTGCTTCAACAATTCCAAATCTCTTTTACGTATCATTTGCCTTCGACTGGTATCATAATGAGATTAGATTTACTATAGAAGGGCTCTACATCTAATGCTCTGTTAGATAATTCAGTATTTCTGATTTAATAAACTTTGCATAGTATATTCAAATCATTAACTTATACTACTATTTAACAAGGTATAGAAGATACAGCGAGTGCTTTAACTCGCTTCATTACACATTACAATCCATTCTACTTAGTTCATCCAAATTTTCTATTTTCGAATTAATTATAAATCAATTTAAATTTATAAAATTAAATCATTCTCTTAACTATTTTCTATTTTAATGCTTTCTAAAAATCTAAATCCATTCAAGTAATTATTAGATCTCGCTGATCTCTTTCTATTAAAAAGTTGTATATAGAAATTCGTATTTATGAAGAGAGCAATCTTAATTTTAGACAGTAAAAATAATTTTGTTTTGAAAATTAAGAAGCTTTTTGAAGTATTTTATTTATAATGTTCTTTGCAATATGGACACATAATCCTTTTCTTAATTCAATAAGATAAAATTTAGAGGGCCGTCTTTGCCATATTGGTTAGATTAGAGAAGATCGGTTAGTTGTGTGTAATTTCAAAACAACTGGCTATCTCTGTGTCCTCGTTCTGTCCGACTTTGGTGACAGATGACGGTAAACGAGACCATCTTCTCAGAACATCCTCTTTCTAGGCACGTCCCGCTGTTTCTCTTAAGATGTTCGACTTCCTTCCATTTTCTCTATTTTAGATCTAGGTATTTCCTTCCATTGTTACAGTTCTGATTAGTGGCTTCTTGTTACCCGAGAGGGAACCATTTTCACTTTCAATTCTTTGGAATTTCAGAATGAAACCCAAGTTTTGAATTTGTCCTTCTGTATATCAGTTTTCAACGAAGCTCTCTATATATTTTAGTACAGCGTGGGAGGAAACTTGACACGTGACTAATCTGAAACATTCATGCAAGTTTCATTGGAACTACACATATCCAACCAGATATTGAAAATTCGAATAAATATTTTGAGATTAAATTCGCTAGCCATATATCACCCACATCCTATAACAGTCAAACTGTATCTCATAAATAAGAAAACAATGCATACAACTTATTTTCTATTCTTAAGGGTTCTATATATCTTCCTCTTTAGCAACAATGCAATCTTTTTTTATATATTTTTAAAAAAGAAGATTTTTCAATGTTGGATTTATATCAGCTGCACAATATTAATCCTAAACTACAACAATAGAATGGAATTCAATTTTTATAGAAAAGCTTGAAATATTCTATTCGTATAAATTTACTTCGATTCGAAATATTCAAAATAGCATTTCCCTTTGCGATTGTTCAATAAAGGTCGATATTCGTGATTTATTTGTTTTCTTTTTTTATTTAAAAAATAGTTACTGGGTTATTTTAACAGTCTCTAAACTACAGTTGAATAAAAAATGAAATTTTTATGATATCTTTTCTAACTTAACTTTTAACAGTGATCATTATATTAACTAGATTTTTTCGGCTCTTTTCTACAATTTTATTCAATAATTTTTCATCTTTATTTTATTTCTTTTTATTGAATATGGCTCTACGTTTCTCTGTAAACCATTAGTACATGAACAAAAGTTTAATTTAAAAAATATCTATTTAAAATTTATTATCAGAATAGCTCAGGATTCAATCGTAACAACTTTTAGAAAGTTTAAACAAGAAAATACTTTCAGAAATATTCGCTACTTGTTACACTATAACTCAGACATATTTTCAGAGTTGTATAATATAACAAGAAGTAAAAGTCCAGTTTAAAAAATAAGATGATAAGATATACTTCTTTCTTGTTTCTTAATAAATCGATACAACTATTAAATCGCAAATTCATATATATATGTCACTTCTTTTTAAGCTTGCAAGGATATAAATTAACTTAATTATAAAAGTAAGGAATTGAACGGTATAATTTCAAAACATTTCTCTTTTAATAAACCTATGTTAACTTTACGCTATTAATCTTTTGAGTTGATTCCTTCATAGCCTGGAGAAAGCACTTAACGCAACTATATATCATCTGGCATTTTTCTGTCCATCATGATACAAATCACTATTACTTACGTGACAAATCCTGATCTTACCATATAATCCCGTCAGATACCAATCTGCCTGTCATATGTAGTCCTACAGTTTTTCCTATATATCAAAAGTAAATGCGATAGCGATAATATTTTGAGTTATGAGTTAAAATCTTGCATTTGAACATTTGGTAATATTGAATATTAATCATAATCTTTTATATTACAATGAAAATAATCTGACGATATTTTAAAGGATTTCTATACTTTATTTTCGAAATGATGAAATTCAAAAGATTCGAATTGAAAAATCGCTTTTCTCTTTTATTAATTAGTATAATTAAATATAATTGCAATAAATATGATTTTAGTATTGAATAATTTCTTTTTAACAGAGAATCATGAATACCTTGCTGATAAGTTTCCAAGAATTTCTAGCAGTCCTAAGTTTGGGTACTGCTACTTATTCTTAGAACAGATGGAATCCGTCATCCCAGCAGATAAAGGACAAGCTCTCAGTCATTTAAGCGCAAGACAACGTCCGTCGTTTTTCAAACGGTCTTTCTTTCTACCTAGTTATAAGAAAAATTTAGAAAGCGCTTCCAGGTGCCTTGATGTCATTGAGAACGGAATTCCTCAAATTACGTCATTGGAAACCACCATGTGTGCCGAAATCGTACACGTGGAACAAATGGTGGAAGAAAGAAGAGTTAGAAATCGCTCGTCTAGGTGGCGAGGTTACCTATGGAGGGTTCAGGTAAGATGATCACGCTCTTCTTTGTTCCTTTCTTTTCCTTCGAGACACTGAATAAGATAGAAAATGCCCAGTTTCGGATTGCCCACTAGGCACGTGAGGCACATAATTCTATAGCTATGATTAGATGTTATTAGTTTATGATGTCCTAAAATCATATAGAGGAATCCTAATCTTCTGTGTCTAGGGTCAAGGAAGGTCTTCCACTAATCTACCACTAAAAATGCTCATTGTAGCAAAATAAACTATGATATAAATTAAACATCAATTAACATTCTGAAATAGGATAGAAAATTTTTCGTGAAGATTTTAGAATAAAAAATTCACATAATTCTAAATTTCTAACAATGATAGACATTAATAATATATTCGAAATGTAAGATATAATTATATAATGCAAGTTATAGAATTAATAAATTGTACAGTAATTATGTTACGGTATGACGGAATATGTTAATTATATGTAACTTGTGTTTATTAATATATAATATGTTATTATGTGTACTGTGTATTTACACCAACGTACTCATATAGTAAAATATTATTGTATATATTGTTTATCACAATGGTTTTCTCGTAAAAACTAATAATACTTTGCAGCAAAATTCATATTAAAATAAATAGATTTCAGAGTTTTAGATTATAAAATGAAGATTTTACTGAAAAGTTCTTTCAGTAAAATCTTCATTTTATAATCTAAAACTCTGAAATCTTCCTTCGTAAAATTTTATAATTTTATTCCAGAGATTTCTGATTTTAATTACAGTGATAATTTTTATATTGGACATCTGATAATTGCCAAAAATTAAAGTCTAATACGAAAGAAATTTAACATTTTAATTCACTAAAGATTTTTCACATCTGAAAACTAATGTAATTAAAAATACTAGGAGTAGTAGGCGGGCACATATATTTGATTTACTGAAATAATTTATTCATTTAACCACTTTTAATATTTTCTGTTAGTAGCAATTTACATAAAATATCAGTAAAAACAAGAAGAGGATTAAATTTGAAATTCTTATCTATCGATTTTTAAGTTTATTAGTTAAGTTTTCTAAAATAATTTCTAGATAAAATATATTAAGTTAATTATATTAGTTTTTTTTTAACTGGTATTAGTAGATTATATCATAAATGTTCTCATAGATTAGAGTAAAATTAAAAAAAATTCTTTTTTATTGATACACGAATATTCATAATATATAGTTGGTAATATAGTTCACTTTACCTAGCAGCAAGCAATTGGACGATGGCGATCGGAACGTAGAAGAGGCAGAGACATTATTAGAACGGATTCATTTTTGGAAAGATTTGCGACGACGCCTATGACAGAAGTTGTGGACATCCACGAAGAAGTGCACTGGTGGAATAGGTAAACAGAAAATATCATTTATTAAGTCTCTGTAAATACAATTTACGTTTTTCTTTTGTAGATTTTCTTCTCCATTTATTGTGGATCCGTCCGAAAGTTTCCATTATCAATGGTTGTCTATCATTAGCGTGGCCGTTTTGTATAACGTCATCATGATCATTGGGAGAAGTGTCTTCTGGGAATTACAAAACATTAGTCCGGTTACTTGGTACTGTCTCGATTATCTATGTGATTCTATTTATATATTTGATATGGGCCTACATGCCAGGACAGGTAAGAAGTTTTTTCCTCTTTTTTCCTTTCCACTAGTCATATTTATAAATTTATATTCGATAAAATTAACGTTTAATTATTGATAATTAAAATTTTCTTAATAATAAATTTTTAATTAAATCGAATGTATGATGTATTGCGTGTCTTAAATTTAATTTAATTAAATACCGGTATATGTAGTTGTTTATTTAATAATATTTAATTAAATATTAAAAGTTTTTGTTGTTTTAAATTTATTTCTAATGTGCTAAATTGCACATTTTGAAAAGAGGAAAAAATGTATAGACTAAATCCCGATTATAACGCCATCTGCTGTTGATTAAGAACAACAAAATAATAAGAATTTAATTTGATGTAAAAATAGATATGTTTTATAAAGTGTTTTGAAAAATAATTTTGTAAATATTTTTCTTTAGGTTACCTAGAACATGGTCTTCTGGTGAAGGATACTCGAAAACTATCGGCAAAATATTTTAAATCTTATCAATTCAAACTGGATTTACTCAGTTTAGCACCAACGGATCTTCTATATTTGATTTTGGGAACGAGTTGTACAAAAACTGTTCCGTGCACGGTTATAGTTAGATTAAATCGACTTTTGAGATTCTACAGGATGCTCGAATTCTTCGATCGAACTGAAACCAGAACAAACCACCCTTATGCCTTAAGGATAGCCAAACTCATATTTTACATATTAGTGATTATCCATTGGGACGCTTGCTTGTACTTTGCTGTTAGTTACGCCATAGGATTTGGCAGTGACGGTTGGGTTTATAAGAACATCAGCGAACCGAAATTCGCTTCCTTCACCCATCAATACATCTATTGTTTTTATTGGTCTACATTAACTTTAACAACAATTGGAGAAGTTCCGATTCCAGAAAAAGATGTGGAATACGTTTTTGTAGTCATCGACTTTCTTATCGGAGTTCTTATTTTCGCCACCATCGTTGGAAACGTTGGTAGCATGATAACAAACATGAATGCGGTTAGATCGGATTTCCAGAGAAGAATGGATAACGTTAAACAATACATGGAATTTCGTAAAGTGGGGAAAGAATTGGAAAATAGGGTTATCAAGTGGTTCGATTATCTGTGGATAAACAGGCAATCCTTAGATGAAGATTCTGTAACTTCGGTTCTTCCTGATAAGTTAAAAGCGGAGATCGCAATTCACGTGCATCTGGATACTTTGAAAAGAGTGCATTTGTTTCACGATTGTGAACCCGGTTTATTGGTTCAACTTGTCCTAAAATTAAAATTACAAGTGTTTAGTCCCGGTGATTATATATGTCGTAAAGGTGACGTGGGTAAAGAAATGTATATAGTAAAACGTGGAAGACTTAATGTTGTGGGGGATGATGGCAAATCTATTTATGCCACTCTTTGCGAAGGTAGTGTATTTGGCGAATTAAGTATTCTGAACATATCCGGGGTGAAAACGGGAAATAGAAGGACAGCAAACGTAAGAAGTGTTGGATTCTCTGATTTGTTCTGTCTTTCTAAAGAGGATTTATGGAATGTATTGGCAGAATACCCAGAGGCGCAAAAAATGCTTATAGAACGGGGAAGACAGATTTTAATAAAGGACGGTCTCTTAGATGAAAATGTGGTTAAAAAGGAAGAGGAAGAACGCAATCAACTCCATATTAGATGTGATAATATACAGGACGCTTTGGAAACTCTTCAGGGAAGATTTGCCCATCTTTTAGCAGAATATACTGCTTCGCAAAAGAAACTAAAAAGGAGAATCACTAGATTAGAAAATGCAATTGGTGCTGATGCTATTGGTGATTATCAAATCAGTGACGACGACGACGACGATGATCAAATTGACCAATTAACAGAATAAAACAATCAATCGATGTTTCTATTTAATTGTTGCTAGTGAAAATGAAGTATTACAGGATACTCAGGGATTTAAATTAAATTCATTTTATTTATTTACTTATTATTATTAGCATCATATTGTATCTATAATAATACCTGTTATTTGATTTTTTCTAAAATTAAACGAAGTATTATTTAAAATATGATTTATTTTTATATATGTTTTGCAAAATTTGAATTACGATTATCAGAATGTTGGATGAGTTTTCTCAACTGATTTATACTAATGCGAATTGTAATGGTACAGCCTATAATTAGCAACAATAAAAAAGAATAGAAACATTTGTTGAAAGTATTAGGAAAAATATAGGTTCAATAAGAATTTAATTAAGTTCTTGCATGAACAGAGGCATACTATATACATACCCAAAATGTTTTTCTAAAATTCCATGCATATTTTTACAAGTAGAAATGTAATTTAAGAAAGTGATCAACATTATGATCGCAAATGTTATACTTATTATATTATTATAAATTATTCTCTTTCTATACTAGATTCAAATACATTAAAAAAGAATTTTAAGATATTTAAGCAGTCCTAAAAATTAAATAATATATTCAACTATTTTTAATTTTATTGGTAGAAATAATAAACAGATTGTATAATTTTGGCTAGTTATTACTTTGTATAAATTTCCCTTGTTCTATAATTTACAGTTTTATTCATAATTATTGTGTTTACAGCCTAATAGATTCATCATAAAAAATGATAACTACTTTTTTATATTTAATCAATATGAAGTAGGGAAAAAATTCTCAAAATTATATAAAATGCTGAAAAATTGTTTTCCGCTCAGAATACAGATGAAAATTAGCCTATTGGCTAGAAATATTTCTTAGCCTATTGGCAAAATTACAAGCATAGAAGTCACTAGCAATGCTCATAGAACAATCTTGATTAAAGTTTTGTTGGATCTTGCAGTATTTATCTCATATCTGAATGAATTTTATATTATATAAAATTAAAATATATTAAAGTTTGTAATAATTTGATTTATTTGTTTTTTTTACGTCTATTTTAATAATTATCATTTTCTCCGAAAATAATACGAGGTCCCATCTGCTTTTTATCTCTTAATATTAATTAACTTAAGGATCATTTTGTGTAATTTCATTTATATTCGGAATGGTAAACATTTTATCAGCATTCTATATATATAGCCTATATATATTTAAAAATATTAAAATATAGAACTTGACATAATATATTTGGCAAATTATTTTATAAACCATATCATATAGTTCATCTTACAAGGATTTTCTGAGTTTTGGAATAAAATAATAATAAATTTCAATTTAACTATCTCTCTCTCTATTTCTCACTCTTTCTCTTTCACTGGAATGTGATTTATTAACATGAAATTTGAAGAAATTGGAATTAAATGCTAACTTAAAAAAACCTCTTTCTGCTAATGATATAATTTGAAATTATGAAATTATGTCCAGAGTTATCAATTTATTTTGCTCTTTTTACATAATGATAAAAATAAAATGGAAAAGAAAAACTTGATACCTATCAGCCTTGTAACTGTATTTAAAAATAATAAATTTGCTAATAAATTCACGTATTAGGTACTTTCATTCAGTACTGTACTTGATATCTTATCTCGAACAAAGTTATTAGTATAGTACTATATAAACGATTACATATTTGAATATATTATAATTAAAAATTCCGGAAATTTTATGTTTTGAATATATATTTTACATAATAGAAACAATTTTGTAATAATAATAAAATGAAAAAGCTAATAAAAATTTTGATCTTTTGTGTTTTTAATAATATAAAACTACAAAAATTTTATTTTATATATAATTTTATACGTAAATATACGAAGCCACACATTCACTGTTATGAAATTACATGGCCATTTTTTTAAAATTAATTTTAAATAAAAGTAAATATTATATATAAATTAATTTTTTAATAAAACAAATTGTATAAATATGATTAATAAATATATTAACCGAAATTATAAGCAAAGACTGGAAACTAAAATTGCCTTTAATTTTTTCCCTTTACATAAATATAATTAGGCGCATTAATTATACTGTAATTATCTGAAATATCGATAATGTTGTTATTGTAAATATCAAATAGTTCACATATAGCAAAATGGTTGTTTCCTTTACTAGGAAACGTATTTATAGATTTCCTTATCTGTCTTAAAATATCGTATTTCATTCTGTTAAAACTGTATGTTTGTAACTCGGATGTAAAATAATTGATTTTATACAGCTGAGCTGTATTTAAATAATTTAACACGATGTATTCTTAGATTAGCACTATTATAATGCTTCCAGTATAATTAAATTTTATAATCAATGAGATCAGAAGAGTATGAAAGTCTTTAACGTTAAATTTTATAACCAGATTATATTAGAGAGTTTGAATTGATGGAATAAGAATTTTACAAACCTATTCCTTTTCATAAAAGTATTGAATTATTTAGAGAGATTTCTGATCATTAGAAATCTCTCTAAATAATTCAAATTATTTAATTATATGCCATGGTTCTTCAAATTTTGAGTTTCAGTTTCTTTTCTTTCATTCATGAGCATTCTCTTTTATTAAGAGATTTTTCACTATTAATCTTTTAAACCGCAAAAAGTACAGTAAATTCAATTGCTGATTCCGCATGAATGGAAACAGGAATGAAATTCTCATAATTTGCTGAAGAGTATGGCAGCTATGAATATTTGAATATTTTCAAATACAGTAGCCTACTATATTTCAAAATACATTGTGTTTTATATTCAGAATTAAATCATAAGTAAAGTCAAATTGTTTTTTATAAATAAGTTCCAGGCGTCTTTTTTTTCTTTTGTTTTTCACCTAATGTTTTAAAATAATATATTTCACTGTTTTATTGGAATACAATAAAATATACACATTCAGAAGATCCGATACTTGCAAACCTTTCGGTTCATCATCAGAAATGATTTTAGAATGTTAATTTCATGAAAACTTGTTCGAATATTGTCTTGTTAACGTTTCTTCTAACGAGTAAGATTCTCTTGATGAATCAAAACGTTTGAAAGTATTCAGGATTTTGTGAACGTTTAATCTTTTAATCTTTTCCAGTAAATCCGTGAAATTCGAAGATTTACAGTTTATTTTGACTTTACTTAAATTTCGTTGCTCAGAAATTTATACAAAAAGTCGATGTGATAGATTCGATTTCGCATGAAAAATTTACAGTAAATAAAAAATATTAAAAATGTGGATATAAATTTTTATAGTGTTCTGTTCTGAGCCGAGCACTCGATTAAGCCAAATAATAACTAAATTAATGACTAAAATAAATAAAGCAGAAAGCTAAAATTAGTTATTAGACTATTTTAGTTAAACTTAAGGAAAACTTAACTCGAGCCGAAACCTATTACGAAATAGTGTAACCGAAGTACCGATGTATGAATCTCATAAAAATACGACAGGAAGTCGAAAAGTTTTTGCCAACTGCGTTTTTCTCAAAATCTGAGTGTTATTTTAAAATATACATTCATAAGTCTTGTTCAGATCCTATTTTTCTATGTAGTTTCCGAGCCAAACATTTCATCCGTCGTGGCACAAGTTTTTGGATAACTCATAGAATGTGTCTGGTTGCTTATACAGCCACGGTCGAACTGCTGTCTTCACATCTTTGTCATTTTCAAAGTTATGACCTCCTGAAGATCAAAATGATGATAAACACAAAATTCCAGATTCAATCTGTAATGTAGATGACGAAAAACGATCTGATATGGGCATTGTAGATTCTCCTCGTTCCATTTCTGAATTTCTCATGCCATCAATTCATACATTGCAATATATTGCAAGGCACCCATTTCTCGATAAATTTTGTGTGTATTTTTGCCAGATTCCCACAATAATCGAATCATACTTCTGTGTTCCTTCAGTGTAAAAATTGACAGAACAGCCGCCGTTTTCAAATGCCAGTATTTCCACTGCATCTTACCAAACAGTGTTGGAAATTCCCTGGACCAGGGGTGTCCAACTTTTTTGTTCCTCTCGGCCACATTGGAAGAAGTCATGGAGTTTTGGGCCACGAGTATATATAATATATTTGTGGCTCAATCCTTAAATATACTTGTATACTTAATGTTTATATTATGTTAATCTTTAAATATACTTGTATACTTGTATGTTAATCTTTAAATATACTTGTATATTTAAAGATTAACATGTCTAGATTATAGTAATAAGTATTAAAACTTTATCACGAAAAAAGATATTTTAAAAAATTACTTCTACAAACCCTTTCAATTTTTACTTAGAAAGAAATAAATTCATTTGTTATAAAGGAGACAAACAAAAATTTATTTGAAAAACACAAATATTTGTTTTATTTGATTCTCTAATTAATAAAAAACGACGAAACACCATTTTAAAGTGCATTTTTATTCGACTAATATATTTATAAATACAGTCGACCCCCCTATAAGATCATAGATACGTTCCATTTTTTAGGAATCCGATTTCTTACGAGTCGTTCCAATCACAGCTCGACACGTGTAAAGTTTACGGACTACGGCTGATTGAAAGGTTTTCTTCCATAAAATTAATCGATTCTAGACTAATCCGACTCAACATTTCCAAAATACGTATAT